TACAATATAAATAATCGATTAATTCATAAAAAATCGATTTTTACAATTTAAATAATCCATTAATTCATAATAATCGATTTTTACAATTTAAATAATCAATTCGAATGGAGGAAGAGGCCAAGGTGATGATGTATCTGTTCCTGTTTCGGCGTCTCAGTGGAGGGGGCTGCGATATTTCTTCTATTCCAAAAGCAAGTCCCTGATTGGGACTAATTTGGTCCCAGTCGGGGAACACTTTTTGGTCCAACTTTCTCCGAATTGAATTCCGATTGCACCGTTGCGATCAGACAGTTAAACTCTATCTAACGATATAATTTTTATATTTATTCGTTATACTTTTTCCGACATCATATTTTTGGGTGGTTGACTTTGACAGAGTCAAAATTGGTTTAATTGACCTTTATTCAAAAAGGTTCTCACATTTAATTCATATTATTTATTTCCATGATTTATTTCAATAAATCATTTCAAAGTTCACATTATAAACAATTTCTTCATTTATTCTTAATTTGGGTTTGTATTCAGGTTCCCAATCAATATCACACAATAAATCAACATGTTGGATTTATCTCTATGAGATTTATCCCAATTAGGTTTATTGGATATCAATATATATTTTATTTCAGCCCAAAGCCCAACAACAATTTATTTTAATCAAAACAAATTTTGTTTAATTGAATATTTAATTCAATAAATTTTAGGGTATATTTTGGGGCGTTACAGTGAGAGGTATGTTCAAAAATGTAGAACATGCCAAGTGTTTTACAAGTATCCCGGCAGACCGGCGACCTACTATCACCAAGTATCCCGGTGGCACACCAAATGTCGTGAACCCTCTCACAGCGAATCATCTTGCTGGGGTATTACTGGCCGACGATTGTCCAGGACTGGTTTGCACCAATTTGCTGCTGGCGCTGCTGCTGTACTTGGCCGAAAGCACTGCTAGGACTGCCAGGAAGATGCTGGTTTTGGGTTTTCTACCTATCCACTTGCTGTGTCTGAACTCAAACCGAGGGCAGCAATGAATGAAGGCTTTCAGGACAATGTGACAACTTTTAGCACTCGGGCCTTGGCCCTTTGCCATGCCAGCGGATAACCTTAACATCTATATATAGTGCTGCTTGTTTTGTCCCTCTTTCTTTAGCCATGCACCGAATAGATTCAAAAAGCATCTTTAGAAAAGAAGTCTAAGATGTCAACTCGAAGAACAAGACCCCCTCTAGTGCAAGGCCTTGTTTCAGACAGCAATGGATTTTGCCATCTTCTTTTTGTTTTTTTTGCTTTTATGAGTGAGGTTGATTGATTGTATGGGTTCCCATGTACTTTTTATTTTCTTTCAATAAAAGTGTTTATTTTTTAAAATGATAATTGTTTTAAACAGCGGTTATTTGATTGTTGTCTAAACTTTCGCTCAAAGTTACAAAAGTAACGTTAGATAACATACACATATTCATTGTAGTGATGGTTATAGTTTATTTGAACTTTAAAAAAGTTTGAGACTTAATAGCTAAACTACTGTTTAAAAAGAGTATTCTTAACTTATTATAAAAAACTCTAGCAAAACAATCATATGACACAGAAAATTAGTAATAGATTACTATTTCTCATAATTTTAAAAACAATTCTACGCTTACTATCCATACTACTGTTTAAAAGAGTTTTCTTAACTTATCCTAGACAGTTGTGAAAAAAAACCCGTGTGACACAGACTACTAGTAATACATTACCGTTTCTCATAACTTTAAAAATAGTTCTAGGCTTTATAGCTTGACTATTGTTTAAAATTCGTATTCTTAATTTATTATAGACAACTGTGGCAACAAAAACCGTATTTTGATATGACACAGACAACTACTAATAGATTACCGTTTCTATGAACTTTAAAAACAGATGTTGGCTAAGTATCTAGACTATTGTTAAAAAAGAGTATTGTATTCTTATTATAAACAACAGTGCCAAAAATACTATATGACATAGACAACTATCAATAGATTATTGTTTCTCATAACTGTAACGCCACAAAATAAGGCCTAAATTTTATTATAAAACAAAAGTAAATTTGAATATCATTTTGACTAATGAAGAATATTTAGACGTTTGACCAAAAATAAAAGGATTTCAAAATAATGACTTTTTGTTTAAAACTTATTTTTTTATGGATATGTCTCGAAGAGACGAATCCAACGGTACATTTTAAGAACCAATCTGATTTATAGATTTCAAGTTATGTCAATTTTAAATATTAAAATTTGTAACTTTGACCCATAAAAATAAACTCAATTCAAAAGAGATTTCATAAGATTAGAAATCTAAATCTTTGACACTTCACAACACCATATTTATCATTTGGATTTAATTCATATAATTATATCTCATTCATACTATAAAATTTATTTATGACTGAGACAAACCTGAACACTGAGAAAAAATAAAAGTTCTCAGAAAAATATTTCGATTACATCAAAATTCTAGTTTTGACAGTCTCATTCCAAAAACGTATCCCGTTTCTGATTCAGAGCAGTTTGGGCGAAAAAGCGCTTACCGTTTGGAGTAAATTGTTCAGTTTTGGCAAGAAGCCAAAACTTTATTTTCCAAATCTCTCCCAAATTACGTAGCTTACCTTTGTGATGCTCACAATCCCAAGATTTCAACTCTCCACTAACTCCATTAACACAACACTCCAAAAATAAATATATGATACTCCACGACCACCATCTTCATCATTATCATCATGTTCAACCATCATCACCATCATCTCATCTCTCCCCTCTCCACTCTCTCTATGTCGGCCAAACCAAAGGAAAAGAAAAGAAAGTTCATCTCCATAGTTGGTTCAAGGAAGAAGAAGAAGAAGCAAGAAAACCATCCAAAGTTCTAAAATCCTAAGTTCAAACACAGCAGCCCACTTCTAGGTAAAAACTGAAATTTTCCATCCATTATCTCGAAATACTTCTTGAACCAAAGTTGTACCCCCGGACGATACAAATCCAGGCCAACAAACGGCTCGCGATTTCGTTTAGTAACGAAGAAGATATGGCCAAAATACCGGGACTGCGCCAGTGGTGGCGTGCTCCTCGGGTTGGACCATTTTCTTCACCAAATTCATATTGTTTCATTCCAAGAACTCACCATAAACTCTCTAACGATTATTAGAAACATCCGGAAGGTATCGTAGAGAAGGTTCGGTGTTGGAATATTGAAGTTAATGGGTTAATCGTCGGAACCATTGTTCACCGGAGTATTCAAAATTCTGGACAGCAACTTTCTCCTAACTTCAGGTCCAATTTACGCTATTTTAAATTCATTATCTCAAAATACTTTCTATACGAAAGTTATAGCATTACATCTTAGGAATTCACAGAATCAAAGGCTTGCAATTTCGTGAAGAAACGATGGAGATATGCCCAAAATACCGCAGGCTGTCCAGTTGTGACGGAAATGACAAAGTTGGCAAATTCCAATGTTGTTTCCACTCCTGCTCATCCGTAAGGTTTCGGCCGATGATTTCAAGGTCTGTACCTTTGCATTAGACTTGTCGAATCATTCATCACATACGTACATGAACATATATGTTAATCCATATGTTGAAATCCTCCCAAAATATATATTTGATACACATAAAAATTTATCTTTGTGTTAAGACCAAATACACCAAATCCATAAAGTTAATAATATATATACATAAGTATATATAAATATTTGAAATCAACCCAACAATATGTATATATTAATCAAAGGTGTTTAAAAGACTTAAAGAATTATTTTGGACACTCAAAATATCAAGAGAAACTTTCGCAGACCCAAATGGTCGATGCAAACGGTCGACCGTCGCGTTAAACTTCGAGACGAACCAGGACTATCGGCCAAACGGTCGACCGTAGGTGGCTGACGGTCGACCGCCGCCCGCCCAGCCGAGGACCGTCTTTCTCAGTCAGTCAACAACGGTCGACCGCCGGTCAACCGTGGTCAACCGTCACGGTGTTCCGCCAGCCCGACGAGATGAAGATCAAGGTCGACCGTCGCGTCTCACGGGCGACCGTTCCGAGCCCCGTAACTTATTTAAATGATATTTTAATCATGTTTCATCCAAATAAACTAATGCATGATTATATATTCATATTGTTTGCAAATTATTCACATCATGTCATTCATTTCATCATTTATATTGAAGCATATCACATCATGTGCATGCGTAACAGATCATGCGTAATTGCGTCTCTTATAGTTGTGATTGTGCGGGACTTAGCAGTCCGACATCACGGACCGGGCTTAGTGTACGTACATGGTACTTAAGTACCACCCCTATTTCTGCGTGAGTTCGTCGTACCAAATGGGCGAATCTCATAGTTCAAGGCTCGTCCTTGCGTCTTAGAATCATGCATCAAGTACATTGATTACATAGGTGTTATGTAATCATCATCAAGAACAAGTATATTGATTACATAAGTATCATGTAATCATCCTCACAAGCAAATTTAATTAAATGTGCCATCATGTAATTATCATTAAATATTTATTATCATGATTCATAAAATTGACCATATGATATGATGTGCCATATCATAATTTTTAATATACATTTTTGTGGACACACACACATACACACACACACACACACACACACACACATATATATATGTACGTATGTATATGTATATGTCTGTGAATTATTCTACAATTCTAGCGTGGTACCACTCAGCGGTTTCACTGAGCGTGTAGTTTGTATTTTTCGTTGACTACACGTAGGTAACAAGAAGACAATGATGAAACCACTCCCGGAGGACATTGAGTCAGAGGAGATGCAAGGATGGCAGGCAAATGTTTGATCATAAAATTTTAAAATGTGTCATGATTTGATTAATATTGTACTTCCGCATTACTCTGAAAATATTTTTAAATGGGTCACGATCCAGAGTCTGTAAATTTAATATTTATAAGAAATTGTCATCTTCAAATGTCAAGTGAAATTTTTATTTAACTCTCGTTTCACATTAATTTGTGTAATTCCGGGTTATACGGATTAGGGTGTTACAATAACTTTAAAAACAGTTCTAGACGGAATAACTAGACTACTGTTTGAAAAGAGTATTTTTAACTTATTATTGACAACTGTGATAACAAAAACTGTATTTTGATATGACACAAACAACTAATAATAGAATATTGTTTTTCGAAACTTTAAAAATAGTTTTAAGCATAATAGCTAGACTACTACTTTTGTAGCCAACAACAACAAACAGTAGTCTGATTTTTTTTAACTACTGTTTTTCAATAAACAGTAGTTAATCAACAGTTGTCTCACACTGTTTTTTGGCGTAGTGATGAATCATTTTCTAATGCATGGCCGTATTAGGATAGTTTCACATTTAATTATTTACTTACCTTTTGTATTTTAGGAATGACTTTATTATGGTGTGAATTCCTTGGTAAAGGATTAATATATGTAGCATGGTCCTAAAATTCTATTTAAATTAATTAAAAATATTCTTTTTTTAAAATAGTATCTATATTTCTTCATATTTATTTTTAATTTTTTATATTATCATCGTCATTGGAGTTCGTATTGTTGTAATCTGAATACAGATATTTACATATAATATTATTGATTATCCAAGATGCATAATTAAGGATTGCCATATATAAGTAAAGATATCTAAAATAATATTAGTATTATCCAAAATACATAGTATAAGTAAGGTAATGAATAATATATATACTCGTGATCATAACTTATAAATTTTGTATTATTTAGGATTGTTTCTTAATAAGATTTTCCGTAAATTTTGTTAACGACCATATATAAGTAAGGTGATCAATAATATATACTCATGGAATTAAGACAAATAAGTAAGGAGTCAAAAATAGTATTGGAATTTCTATTAGTATAGGTACTCTATTGATTTCAACCTATATATATACAAATTTTCATTAATCAATCTTTGTTACTTATTAATTTAAGTATGAAATTTATAAATATGAAAGTAAGATGAAGGATTAATATATGTAGCATGGTTCTAAAATTCTATTTAAGTTAAATGAAAATTATTATTATTATTTTTTATTTTTTAAATAGTATTTATATTTTTTCATATTTATTTTTAATTGTTTATATTAAGAGTTTGTATTATTGTAATCTAAAAACATATATTAACATATAATATTATTGATTATCCAAGACACATAATTAAGGATCCAAGACACATATTATTGTAAACGGATCCAAAATAATATTAGTATTATCCAACATAAATAATATAAGTAAGGTGATGAGTAATATACTCGTGATCATCATTTTCAAATTTAGTATTATTTAGGATTGTTTCTTAATATATTTTTTTTGTAAAAAATAATATTCTAATTTCGAGTAATATATGTACTCTATTGATTTTAACTCTTATTATTAACGAATTTCCACAATAAACCTTTGTAACTTATTATTTAAGTATGTAATTTTTAAATATGGAAGTAAGATAAAGGATTAATATATATAGCGTGGTCCTAAAATTCTATTTAAATTAAATGAAAATTTGCGGTCAATTGTTTCCAACAGGAGATCCGCTGGTGCATCGTATATAATTTATTTCCGCTAGTTTACTTAAGTATTACGTGGCGTGCTGACATATATAAATTTTGCCACATGGACATGAAACATGTCAAATTTATGTGCATTCGAGTACTTTTATTATATTAAAGGATAATGATGATATAGAATAGGATATGATTGGGGACACTAAAACTTTAAAATTTGTAAGGGTATAAAAGTGAAATGTGGGTAGGGAAACAAAAGTAGATCGAGAGCGCCGAAATAGGGTTAGGGAGGGAGGCGGTATTGGAAGTACGATGCAAGGCAAGGACTCGACAGAGATCGAGAGAGGCATCATCATGGAAGAGGAAGAGCCGGCATTCGTGGTGTGCGGGCAAAGAGCGGTACCCGGTGACGAACTCCCTAGGAAGGGTTTGGCGGAATTCCACAAGGTGTTTTTGGGAGGGAAGGGGAAAGTTGTTGAGAATGCGTATCCACCATTGCTGAGTAGCTTAGGAGCATTCTGTTTGGTAGCCTTGCCTCCGCCGCCCAAGGAGGGCGGGGGAGGAGGTCCGACAGTGTACGTGGTGGGCGGTTTGGGTCCTGGTGAGATAGGTCCACCCAACGATGAGGACGACGACAAACTAGTTCTCTACCCCGGCGGGTGTCGTCTTGTCGATGGGGATCCTCCAAGATGGGAGCGGATTCAAACTCCCATTCACAATGGCCGCTACTCCACCTGTGCTGTCCATCAGGGGAAGATTTATTGCTTTGCATGTTATGATGTGGATCCTGAGGTATTTGATCCCCTTGATGGTAATTGGCACAAATCCCTCCTATCTAACCCGCCTCATTCAATTCGGGATCTAAGGGTATATCGTCCCGTCCTCCCTCATCCTTCCCAACATCGTATCCTTATTCACCTTTCTGATGGTTCCCTCTGGGCTTTCTATCCTCCAACCCGTCTCTCTACTTTTGCTTGGGAGCTTGTTGCCTCCCATTTTGATCATTGGGGAAATGTTGTTGCTCTTTATGAAAACCTCATTTTCATTCATGATTTTTATACTCCCAGTTCTTTCTTTGTATACGATTTAGACACCTCTAAATGGCTGGATGTAGTTTGGTCCTCAGAAACCTGTATCAACATTGGCTATAATATTACGTCCGTGGGTTTTGATTCCTTGCAATGTGTGGGCGATGGGGTGTTTTGGGCGGCTTCATGGTCGCCCTCAATTAAACGTAATGAGCCCGTCTATATTTATTTCCTCAAGTTCAAAGCAGAGTACGTCCCAGCAACTTCAACCATTCGCCTCACTCCTCTTACTTCTCAGATGCATCCTATTCCAGGAAACATCACTGTCAATCGTTTCCTATTGCTCCCACCCTAGCTAGAGGTACGTGTTTTATTTTTCTTTTCCTTTATTTGTTCTTTACCCTGGCTGATAATATAGTGTGTGTGTGTGTGTGTGTGTGTATTCCTTTTAAAAACATATTTTTTTTTAAAAAAGATAAGAAATGACATAAAACACAACACAAATGACATAAAACTACATCAAAGAAAAACAAGAGTTCTGTTTTGGCTATGTTCACCTTAACTCCAACCCAAAAGAACATGTGGACACTCACTGCATTTTTGGACTTGCAATTCTCAAGCACAATGATAATATTGTGTGTGTGTGTGTCTATATATATATATATACATATATAACATATATATATATATATATGTATATGTATATGTGTATATATATATATACATACATATATATATATATACACACATATACATATATACATATATATATACATATATACATATATATATATATATATACATATATATATATACATATATATATATATATATATATATATATATAGCCAGTCACAGTGATGTAAGATGAAATCCCATTCATCAGTTCAAAAACTTGGAATCACATCATTCCTTATGCATAAAATGCTGCCAACATTTAATATAAAAAATTAAAGACAATATAGATACCATTGCAATATATATTGTAAAAAAATTGCACAATACCAATTCCATTGCATGGAGATCCCAAGCCATGAGCCATCACTATTGCCACCCTGGGTTGACTCCTACTCCGATAAGCTTGTTATAGATTTCTATAGGCATCATGAAGTTGGTGATTCCGTTAGACTTCATATTATCTCGCACACTAGAGATCTTTCTCCAATACCAACACTTGTCTTGCTTTGCTTGATATTGCCATGGATCTTCTTTCTTCAAATATATGGAATGTATCCATTTGACACACTACACATCTTTCTTATTGTTTATATCCCAGAAGAGCTTTGTTTTATTCTAGGGAACTATATTTTTCAGTAAAATACCTTAACTTTATCAAACCTTCCACCAAAAAGATATTAACCAGTTTGGAGGTAAGCTTCTGGTCCTAAATCAACATGGATGCTGATTTGGCCAAAATTTAAGCCAAGGCATGAACATTTAAGCCAATTCTTGCTAATTGAGACCGAAAAAAGAATTATACTTTTTTGAAATGGGTCCCTCTCAAATTCTTTTTTTTTTCATACATGAGATTTGGTACAAGAGTTAAATTCTGGAACTCATCTGTAATTCTATGTACCCAAACAGAGCTTCAAAAAATTTGCTCCAAGGAGATGCTTCCTAGTAATTCTACACATTATCGTTAAAGTGGAAGGTCAATGTACCAATCGTGCCCAAATATTCTACTCCAAGGAGGAGAGCGTAAGAAGTTGTTAGCCCTGTGAGCAGAGTCTCTGTATATAGCTCCAAAACATAGTTATTTAAGGCGCGATGCGCACCGATGCACAAAGTACCTCTAGCGCCTCGATGCGCGAGGCGCACTTGATGCGCGCGCATCACGAACCCAATGCGCATATTAAGGCACCAGTAGAATCTTGAATATATAGTATATCTACATTAAGAATAATATATATATAATTTTTAAAAGCATAATAAAGGTTTAGAAATCAATTAAGA